TGTTATACTAATTATTGCTTATAGCTCTGAAAATTAGACAATGATTTTAAATGAACTGTATAAAAAATGGCAATGGTACGTTAGAATATCCTTACAAAATTGTAAGTTGGTACCCACTGTAACGAATAGTATACATTTTTTTGAAAGTTCATATTTGCTACTTGTGCAGAAAAAGAAATTACCATACTATGAGACGCAACCATTAATAAGTGGTAATTTTATTCCTGAAAAAAAATTATTTTAGCTATAACAAGAAAAAAACGGCTTAAGTTAAAATTTTGTTTTATTAAATAGCTGCTGGTATACATTGTTTATTTTCTAAAGTTATTAATAAGAAACTGAAAGTAATGACAACGTCATTCAAAATTATCAGTAAAGTAGTTTTTCTGTGAGAAAGTTTAATCTTTAAAATATCATCTTTAATACAAAACGTCTTATCCCCCCATCCGATCGTATGCTTCTATAGGAAAATTATCTGTCATGATTTAAAATTGGAATAAACATTACAACACCGTATAGCATGTGCTTGAGTTTCTGTTACCCTGTTCGTTATATCTTTGAGATGGAATATAATATCTTAAAAAATTGTAGGGCTTAATGATATCACGAGTTTTTGATAAGTGAGGCTTCTGCGTCAGTGGTGAGAATTAACAACTATTATTGGTGTTTTTGCGGAATTTAATTACTATACAAAGTGCAGGTGTTTTAATGTGATGTAGAGTATTTTTTTAAGTATTGTGAATGTTTGGAATACATTCGTAATACATTGCCAGTTTTTTCTCAACTTTCTCTCTGAAAAAAACTTGAGCTATTTCCTGATGTTTCTTGCTAAATTTCATCATTTTACACCTTTTTTTACTCACTTCCCAAGTGACTTCTTTGCAATACTTTTAATCGTTTGGCCTTTATTTTCATTAAGTATGTTTAATGCTCATTGTTAAGTGTATATATTTTGTACAAGATTGTTTGATTTACATATAGAAGAAAGTTTGTTAAGTAACGGTTAATTCCCTGATACGTTTTTTTTCGTGACTGTGTATAAAAGTGTAGGGGAGAGGCTTAGACGATGACTTGATATTATTCTAATATTAGTAATTTCATGCTGTGTGCCATTGTCTCTTTTAAATTCGTTATTCTTCCCGTGTTCCGATAAGTTTCATTTATGCAGTTTGATTTTGTCTATTAGGTATAATTTTTACGGTTTCTTATAAATATTCAGGTTCGTATAACGCGAAGTCTTATTTAATTTCTATATTTCAAATTATAAATTTTTCATGGTTGCTCTCATAACCCATTTGAGCTTTTATTACTGAGTGTAGCCTTCTAGTAAGGGACTTATTCTTTTTCTATTCTAGATGTTAATATTATTATTGTTACGTTCGAACGTTTTAGAAAGCCGCTTTAATAAACTCTTAGAAGGGTCTATTAACATTATCTCAAAAGCAGGTAAGATGTTTTTTTTTCCTTTATTTTAAAGCTGCTAGTTAACCTGTTACTAACTGCCATAATATGTGTAACCAAACATATTTAAAGAAAGTTCGTATCTTTTTAGTTGCATTAAACAATCAATTCTTGGTAAGGTAATGCTTCTCCTAAAAGTTGCATTTTGACAAATTTTGTTGAATCTGGTTCGGTTATTTTTGGACTGACATAGTCCACTTTCCTACAACCGTCTAAAAGAATTTCAGGTGAAATGTTTGAACTGCTGTAGATAGGCCTTACTTAAATGGCATGATTGATTTAAATAAAGTTGGTTTTTTTTCTCTGTAAGTAGGTTCAATTGTAAAAAACCACGTCCAATCGTAATACTTATGTATTTGTATTTGGGTCATTATTTAACAAACCGAACACCTTTCTTATCGACACCTCTTCAATTTAGCTAAAACTTTCAATACGGAATCTATATCGAAAAATAAGAGATACGTGTGGTTATTTGCTGATACAACAAAATCTGTTACTTGCATCGAAAAAAGTTAAAAGTAAAAGTTGAGGATAATTTAAATATCTACAACTTTCGTTGAAACTATTTCTTGACATAACCTCTATATTATTAATTAAAATGCAAAACACGTTGGTAATCATTTTTTTGACATTTTTTTTATTGCAAATGTAGATAAATGATTAGATAAATAAAAACAACTGATAAAACAATATATTTTTAAATAAAGAAAAATTGAACGCAATAAAAAATTAAGTAATAGTTCTTATTTATCATATCTTTTAATAAAGTAACAACATTTGTACTATGGAATGAATACTCTCCTTAACAGTTTAGTTATATAGTATATTTTATTTGAAAATTTTTACAACAGTTTCTTTTTCATGCAGTAAAAATAACTAAGTTTC